TTCAATAGCTACTGCGATGCGAGTGACTATTCACCATCCACGCCTCCGCCACCATCAGTGACTATTCACCATTCGTCTTCCTTCATCTCCTTCAATTCCTCTCTTTCCTTTCCTTGATTTCATCCAAACAAAGATGGATTCTTTAATTAGAGTTTCTCCTCGTCTTTTTCAGGAAACCCTCCTTCTCCTTCTCTATATTCCAATACCAAAATCATGTCCATGCGTAATAAAATGTCCAACACTATGTTTTTGCCACAACGTGTCATGTCACGCCCATTCATCTTATAATGTTGGTTGTATTTTGCATTTTATGTGCACTGTAACAATATGGACTACATACATTATAGTTATGCACATCAACGATTATTATACAAATGTTTACTTTCTCTAACTTTGCACCATGTATCTGTAACATATCCAACTGTAATGTCTATTTCTTTTTGCGATATAATATAAATTGCATCATACCATGTAATATCAATTAGTCAAGTTATATTTCATAGTCAAGTGTACGGTTTATAGGCGGTTCTATGAGATCATAATTATATTACAACTATGAGGTATTGTGTAGTGTATTACATGGTTTTTCCCATTACAATATTTATTTCATAGTTGATGAAAAGATTTTTCCTGAGTTATATTTCATAGTCAGGTGTACGGTTTCATAATTTAATTTTATTTAAAAGATTTTATTTTTTTTTCCAATTTTACAAATGCGTGCTACATTAAGTAATTGGTGCACAAATGTTGTTTGGCCAAAACCTCCACCACCATAACCATCGACCACCATCGCTGTAACTGTTTCGTCGGCCCTTCTTCCATCTCCACCACCACCCCCATCCCTAAACATCTCCAACACCACGCACCAGTCACCTCCAAAGCAGCAGCAGCGCCCAAATATTTAATCAGTGACTACCCACCGGAGACAGGAATACCATTTCAAATCTGGTTTTGGAAACCAGGTCCGATTTCCATTGGAAATAAGATTTAAATCTTTGCACCATCTTGCTTTTTGTTTTTGATTTTTGAAATTGATTTTTGTAATTGTAGTAGGTGTGAGATTTTAACTAGATGGAGGTGAGGTGGTGGTAGAGCTGTGTTGGTGTTGATGGTTGTGGCTTGTGGTGGCAGGATGGTGACTTCTCTTGTTTCTTGGTGGTGCATGGTGGTGGTGGTGGTGAATGCTTGTGGGTGATGAAGGTGGTTGTAGTGACATATAGTGGTCTAGTTTTCTAATGTTAGAAGGGATTAATATCATTGGTCAGGCTCAAAGCCAGGCAAAGAAACAGGGCATCAATGTGGGTGGGCGAGCTGACCCAGTAGCATTGTTGATGTTACAAGTGTTGGTGACTTGGTGTGTTGGCTACGGCCAGAGTATAACAAAAAAATATTATAAGTGGAGGGGCCAGCGGTCATGACGTAACAATGAATGTTACATATTTGATGGGTCGACAATGGTGGTGTAATATTGAATGTTACAAGTGGTTAACCCTAAAAATAGGGGACAAAATATGTGTAACAAGCTCAGTAAAATAATTTTACAAAATGTAACAGATGGGTGTTGGAAAATTTGTTGTAGAATTTAAATAAAAAATAACAAAAATAAGTGTAATTTGACGGTAAGGCCCTATTTGAAAGGTGAGATTTTCCATGGAAAATGGAAAATATTTTTCACTTTCCAAGTTTTTGGGTGTTTGAAAGGTCAAATTTTCCATGGAGTAATTTTTCCTCACTCAACCCTCACGCGCCCTTGTTCTCACTTTTTAAGGAAAATCTTTTCTTTTTGTTTTGGTGGGAATTGTGTTTTCCAGGTTTGGGTTTTTTTTTTTTTT